AATTGTGGGGGGGGGGGAGCTTGATGGAGAACAGAACGGTCGCATCTTTCTGAGCTCTGTGTCTCACCCAGAGATATTGGACCGTTAAAGGTGGAAACAAGCCCCAAAACTGGGCACTCATCTTTGCAGCAGCACAAGAGATCGCCATGGGCATAAAAAAAAAAAAAAAGGCAGACAAAGCCCCTATGAGCCAGGATATCGGAAAACTGCTCCGAAGCACACACAAGGCCGCATGGAACAAAATGGCGCTGGCAGATGAGCTCTCCTCTTACTCCTCTGAGGATTTCACTGCCGATCTTGAAACAGGGACTACAGCTGGCAAAACACCAGACCCTACCAGGGCACCACCAAAATCAGGGGACCCGGTAACAGCGGATCTGCTCCAAAAGGTGCTAGGAGAGTTGCGAAAAAATATTGCGGCCGACATGGCCTATTACAAAACTGACATCGAAACAGCTGCCTCCAAAATAACCAGGCTCGAGGCCACTTCCAGCACCCAAGACTCAAGGCTGACAATTGTGGAGCAACAAATAGCCGATCTCCAGCACCAACAAACCACCACCACGAGTAGAATCAACGCCATGGAAAACCAACACAGACAATATAATTTAAAGGTCAGAGGCATACCCGACTCAGTGGGGATAACAGAGGCGCCACACTTTATCAGACGCCTTCTGGCCACCCTATTACCACCTAAACAGGCAAAAGCCATACAAATCGACAGAATGTTTAGGCTGCCAAAGCCAACAAGGGCTCCGGCGACCGCAACTATGGATCTCATCTTGCAATTCCAGTCACTCCAACAAAAGGCATTTATTCTCGCGGCACTCCGGGGGAAGACCCCACTAATCTTTGAAGGTTCTACCCTGTCTATCTTCCCAGACCTGACAAGGAATACCCTTTCTTGGAGAAAAGGAACCTGCAATATGAGGACATACCTTACAAATAGGGAACCCCACCCAGTGGCGTACTAAGGGGGGGGCGGTCCGCCCCGGGTGCCAGCCGGGTGGGGGGTGCCATGACCCGCCCCCCCCCCATGCTGCAGCCGCCCGAGCACTCTGTATTGAGCCTCAGGCGGCTGCAGCATTGCCCGGGCGGTGCTTCCATGAGGGCGGACCGCACCGCCCGGGCGCAGCCTGAGAAAGGGGGCTGACACTCCTGTCAGCTCCCTCACTGCAGCATGGTCCGCGGGTACAGGGAGCAGCTGTCTCCTGTACCCGGCCGGACTAACAGGAAGTGCACACTCAGTGTTCACTTCCTGTTAGTCTGGCCGGGTACAGGAGACAGCTGCTCCCTGTACCCGCATGGACTATACCGCAACTGACATACAGGAGGTAGGGGGAGGGAGACAGAAGGGAGGGTGAGAAAGAAGGGGGGTATGCTAGCTGCATTGATAATATCACCTTAATATATAATTATTCTTAATTCCACTACACGAATGGAATGTTTACTTAACTATATATTCTTTAGTTAACTAAGATTTCTTAATGTAAATCTGACGTGCTTTATCCTAGTCATATATATCATGCTATTAATACATTTTGATGAGTGAGTAAATGAAACCAGTATAATTACCAGTTGAGTAGATATTTCATCCGATTGGTAGTCTCAGGAACTTATTTGGATGTCTCTCTCTGCATGGAGGTGTTGGTTAGAAAGTCAGTAAATTCTAAGTGTTAGAGTTTTAGGAGTAGAGTGTTAGTCTCAGATGTTGTCCAAGTTGGAGTCCCCAAACTTCCAATTCCTCTCTCCTCTCCTCTTGCATATCTTGCCTTTCTTGCCTCCCTATCTTCCCTTTGTCTTAACTTTTAAAGGGCCAGACTCTCTGTACGTCATCAGTTGATAACCCAATAGAAGTACTAGAGGTGTGGTTATCTTCCAGATCACAATTTAGTTATTTGATCTATAGAGGGCAGTCTTGTCCCACTAAACATACCTATCCAGGAAAGAGTTCACTTTTCCTGGTGGCTATTTTGACGTCATTTTGCGTTATCTTAAATGACCACTATAACTTACGTATCCTTTCAGATCAAAGGGTTTATTTAAGTTTTGTCCAGACTATGTGTCTGGCAATCTGAGTTTTGACCCGTAACTTACAATGGTACCTTGTATGTATAGACAGTTAAATTTTATTATTTAATCTTCTCTGTCACAATTGTCTGGGTTTAGATTTGATTATATTCTTCTTATCACTTGTTTATACTATGCTATGCATTCCTTAGCTCTGACAAAGAGACCAGTCTTACAGAAAGAATTTTGTGTCTTTTTGTTAACTTGAAAATAACAAAATGGAGTCTGATCTGTTCAGAGTGACTCAGAATATACACTTTTAGTTTCTATCATAGCACAAAATGTCTGCCGATATAAATACTCTGACATAACCCCCCTTTAGTGCATTTCATAGCCAAAATTAATTTAGCTTATGAATAAGCACTATAGAAGTTACCAGACATATTGTGCAATCACATCATTTCTAACATAGGCCACGTGCGTGGAATGAACATTTTGTATATAATTTGTACCTGTAAAAGTTTTGAACTTTACACTTAGTACAATCAACCATAATATCATTATTACATAGTACATTATTTTCATTTGAAAAATGTTTTTGGGAGTTACATATGGTATGGTCAATAAAAAGCAAATCTCCATACGTTCCGGATCAATTAAGAGAGGTATAGCGCTCCCCATCTCAAAGGCCAGATTTAATTGCATAGGCTCAATTGTCTCTACATCCACATTGGCAAGCATCGCATGAACAATATCCTTGGATACAAAATACAGAGGTATGCGTCCCCCTGCCAATTCGATCATTCCAGTTTGCACTTCGTCGAGAAAAGCAAGTGTGTGGAACAATATTGGGTCATGCAGAAATAGAAGTTCACGCTTAAATAAGTCATGACTTTGGTGCAACTCAGTGGTTTTGGCAATTAACTCCGAATGCAAATTCGTTGTAACAACTGTGTCTTCCACAATAGTTAGCACGTCTTGGATAAGTGTTCTTTGCTGGTTTATCACCTGATGAATATCGTTAATGTGTTGCTTTAGCGCATAGATTTCCATATCCAGCTTTTGGACAGTAATAGAGTTGGCTGCAGACATTCCAGTTGCGACAACTGCACCGACAGTGGCACAAACTAATGCAACAATTATAGCGGTGAGGAACCTTTTGGGTCGGTTGCTAATCGGAATAGAACTGGATACAAATGGTTTTCGGGCTTGCTCCAAGATGTTTCGCACACGGTCCTGTGCTCTTTGGAGGTGCATCTGGTACCAAGTCTGTAACTCAGGAAGCTGCATCGATGAAATGTTGTATGCCTTCTCGATGGAAATCTTGGGGTCCAAGCTGGCGAACACACGTCGGGTCAGGATCCTCTTCTCCGTTAAGATGAACCCTGGTGTCTCTTGAATCAGGATGCCGGAGGATGGTCCCATCTCTGCGATCGGGTCGGTCCGTAGCTCTTGGCACAAGAGCAGTACGATCCAGAAACACGCCACATCCTTCTTGGACATCCTTCGACAGTCCCGGATCAGGAACTCGTTTCAGACTTATCTACTAATGATTCAAGGTTTGTTAAGCATACAAACTTATAACAGTGTGACATCACTTGGCCTAGGAC